CACCTACTGCGGCCACGATCACAGGGTCAAGTGCAATTTATCAATTTATCGGATATATCGAATTTATCGCATTTAGCGCATTTATCGCATTTGTCGAATTTATTGAATTTGACCCATAAAACCCTTAAGACCCTAAATAAATACATCTTAATAAACGACCCAAGCCCATATCTATCACTAAGTGGCATAGTGAAAGGTATAATTGTCTTGCTCACGTGACTTCGTAGAAAGATTGCCTTTCTCACGTGACTTCATAGAAGATTGCTATCCAGCTGATTCTCGACGTACTGAGGTCCGCCGTGGTTGTTGATTTCCAACTCTCCCAACGTACAGTGGATAATTGTGGTTATTGTGTTCCGGTTTGAAGTTCAAGAGGAAGGACCAAGCCGTGGTTTTGTTGTGTCAATTGTGAATAAAGAGTATAGACGTTAGTGTGGATATTCGATATTCTGTGCAAGTAAAGAAAGTCAAACTTACGTCAAATATAACCGCCTCTTTCGACTAAGCGATCGTAGGTTACACGATGTCTCGGATAGAGAAGTGACCGACTCGCCGTTTTAGGGTGTCAATATTTTCGAGCTTCAATTTCCTGAAACTTAAAATACTGTATATTCTAAGTTTAGGTTACAGCTGTTTTCATAAATCTAAGACAACAGAAAAACTTACTGATGATCAAACCGATGGGATTCCGGGTTCGACTGAAGTCTTTGACCTATTGGCCCGATACAATAACTAATCATTTAATCATCAAAAATTTTTCGAGTATGGCCAAAAATTGGCGGTACCGTGATCTCTGAGCCAAATCGGAAAAGTGTCGAAAATTACTACAATATTTTATGAATGATTCGACGAAATAATTTTCGAGACGTTTCCCATTCCAATTTAACCCGGAGATCACGATACCGCCAAATTTTTGAATTAACTTTGCGCAGCCTTACAAATTATTCAACCGATCATTCAATGACAAATTGATCCTTAACTACCTGAAAATATCCAAACATCTCAACAAAGTGATATTACTTTCTTTTACAGCTTAACATAGCTAGTTTTTCGATATTATTTCAGTTGTTCCAGAATTTATGAAAATAGCTGCAATCTTTCATAAACTAGTTTCTGACTGTATTACTTAGAATGGTGCGTTGTTTAGATATTACCAGGTTATGACTATGAAAATAATAGCAATTTTTTTTACAAGATAAAAGTCTAAAATGATTTCCTATGAAATTATTGTGTTATATTTTATAGCTATTGTGATAGGGTTTAAAAAATATGCACGTGGGTATCAAACGGCGACAGGTGATTGGCGCAGATCATGCCGCGAAGCGGCACAATCTGCGCCAATCACCTGTCGCCGTTTGATACCCACGTGCATATTTTTTAAACCCTATCCAATAACGGTATTAATGTGAAGCAGTTATTGACGACTATACTATT